AACTTTTTATAAAAGAAATATTTACAGAGATTTGTGGAGATTTCCGTTGAGTATAGACAAAGAAGTATAAACAAAGAATACCTAAAAGAAAATTTTTAATTTCCTTTTAATATTTGTTTTTTGTTATAAAAACAAACTTGTGGCTTATCTTTGTTCATAGTTAATAATACCCACAACCTGTGTTATTATATAATTGATATGTGTATTAACATATGCAGAAGATTGTCCGGAGTTTTTCATTTAAAGTTTTGATAAAAACGCAAAGGAGTGTATAGCAACAGCGTTTGCAACTTTCGAATATTTTAATCTATTTACATAACTCAATTGGTAGAGCGTTCTCCTAGAAAGCGTTAGGGTACTGATTCGAATCCAGTTCGAGGAAAAATTTTTTTTTAATTTTTCTGCATTCACTCATCTCATCCATCTGTTCTGCAATTATATGAATCAATTTCTATTAGTTGTTCTAAGAATTAATAATGAAGATAAAAACATACATTTTGTATTGATTATTAGTAATATAAAAATAGTAATTAATTAATTATTTTGCAATTGACTATGAAAAACTTATTCCAAACAAATTTCTGGTTATTCTCCTTTGCAAACCTCTTCCTCTTCCATTTCTTTATTCTTGATATTTTTAATTCAAAAACAACGTTTAATTCTCTACAATAATTAGTTTAACTGTAACATTAAAATAATTTAAAGAGAAGAAAAAATTATTTTTTTCTTAAATGCATCTTTATAAAAAAAATGCCCCTGAAATTTATTTTTTATAAAGACCAATTCAATTCAAGAATCCTAATATTTTTATTTACATCTCTGATTAACATTCCAATGATTCTAAAAAAAAAGGAAAAACAAAAATGGTATTCATTGCAAAAAAGAAAAACATTTTTTTAGAATATTTCTAACAAAATTTAAAAAAAATTATTTCTGTCCTGCTGTCAGTCAGTATCCTGCTGTTTGTGTTTTAAAAATTTTTTCACACCTTTCAAGATAAAGAGTTTAAATTTTATATGCAATTTTTCTAACAGTTTTTGCTGCTCAGAATCATAAAATTATTGAATAATTTCAATTTTTGGATTTGCATTTTTCGAAACTATAAACTTCGCGAGATTTTAACAAAAGCAGAAAACTAACTATAAATATGTTACTATTAAAAATTTATTTACTAATTTCCTAACACACCTAATAAAGCATCAAATTCGATAATTCTTTTGACAATTCTATTAGTTTTTGTTGTGTACCCTAAAAGTATGCAATGATATAGTTTTAGCATATTAATGCCAATTTATTAATTTTGTGTGGAATAGAAAAGGATTTTCGCTCATTACTTTAGAAGTATAATAGATGACAATCCCGACTGTTTGACCTGAATTTATTCTTAAAAATTTTAAGAAACGAAGAAAAATGAACAGGATAAGAAAAGAAAATTAAACAGAAATAAAATTTTTTTCATTGTTAAAATGAAAAATTCTTCTTTTTTTTCTTAATTTTTTTTTTCCATTTCTCTATGTATAAGGAATTTCAAAATGCAAGAAAAACAAAAATAGAATAAAAGCGGAAGAGCATCAAACAAAGAAAAAAAAAAAAAAAAAACATGAACGACCTTTATAAAATTTTGTGCAAATAGAACCAAGAAGTCAAAACTTTTAAATAAAAAGATAAAGAATTTTCAGAAAACGATTTGTGCCAGTCCTGTATATACGAAGAGATCCTTTTAAATTATCATTATTTATGTGTGTATCAATGTAGATATTAAATTATGGAGATAAATTTTTAAATAGAAATTTTTCTCAAAAATATATTTACATAGTACATACATATCAATTAAAAAAAATTTGATGTGATCAGCACATAATCGACCGCAGTTTGTATTGTTTATTTAAGCGAAAGTGTTACAGAAGCTTATGAAAATGTCTAACAAAGAGGCCTTAAATATTAAATTTTAGAAAATTCCATCAATTCGTTCCGTAGATATGGCAAATAATTTAAAATCGGCCCTCAGATCAGTTTCCGAACCCTAATCTTTCCAAAAAATTTATATGTGCATTGTTTTAGCACCCCGAATTTAAATATTAAATTTCAATGAAATTGCTTTATCTTGATATCAAAATTATCTTGGTATACGCAAAAATACCAAAATACGGCTCGCACAAAGGTCCAGTTCCCGAAGTCTAATATATCCTAAAAGTTGAAAAATCCGTGATATAGTCAAAATACGACAGACACACTGATATACAGACGGACAGACAGACCGACAAATCAACATCACTCTAAAGAAAGTTAATTTGCGCTTCCGTATCACGGGGAAGTGCGTTCTCATCGAAAACTCGACATTCGTAATTTGGTGCCATCATATAACCTCCCTTATTGTATACAATGCTGTCGATAAAAATATGTACATTACAAAAATGAATGTAAAATTCTTGTTAACTTTCAGTAATCTTATCAGTTTACGTTTTCTCTTCAACTTGCTTCACTTAATTTTTGTTTTCAATTTTTGTTTTTTCTTTTAAATTTTGTCAATCCTTCCCTTCCTTTTTTACATTTATCTCATTATATAGATATTATGTATAAAACATCCTTCACTTTTATATTTTAATTTTTGATAAAAAATTTTTACATAATTCTTTCAATATAATTTTGTTTTTTAATTTTTTTTCTTATTTTAATTTTCTTGTTAAATATTTTAATATGAAAAATTATTACTAAAAGCATATCTAAGAATTATTCAAAGATGAGAATTTCAAATGAAAAATTATCTGTTCTCTATAAAGAGGGGAATGAAAAAGAGAATATAATAATTAGCATAAAGAGAAAATATAATTATACAGAAATAATAATTATTCTATGTACTATAAAGATGTTTTGCATTAGAAACCGAAAGTATATTACTTCCAGGGTATTTCAGGGTTTTTCTTTTGAAATAGCTATTATGAAAATTCTTTAACCTTATAATGGGTTAAAATAAAATAATGGGTTGTTATGTATTACTCATAATTTTTTACTACTAAATTCTTTACACATATATAGCTATGACTTTTGAAAGGCTTTTGAAATATTATTCGTCAATGAAATTATTAAGGCTTATTAGATATTAAGCAATTAACAGTCATAAAACAAAATCATAAGACTGATAATATTATTTGACTATAAAACCAAATGTGCCGCAAACAATAACCTGTATACAAAAAATATGTCCTAGCCCTTATTAAAATTTATGTGCCAATAATATTGAAAATATTATGTGTGATTTATTCAAAATATGTAGTTATTATTCGAATTTTTATACCCGTATGGTATACTAAATTTGCCTTACCTTTTAAAAATAGAGTTGACACGGTCATTTACTTCTAATTTTATCTCTTACATTAACCAATAAATCTCGCAAAATAATGGTTTAAAAAATTCTTTAAAAAATGAACAATAATTTAAAATATTTCTATTTTCTCATACACAATACAACTCCATGATATTAAAATTAAATAATAGTAATACGTACAGAAAATTTGATTCATAATTTTAAAAATAATTTTATTTGCATATAAAATATGAATGCATGTACCAAACGCCCCCCTCCTCAAATATCAATTATAAACAAATTTTTCTTTAAAAATAAAATTCACAATAATATGCAAAATGGTCATTTTTAAAAGTTCAACAAAAGTTCACTTAAAACTTACGATATAAAAACTCAACCACAACAGGATTTTATAATAATTTTAAAGAACACATACAACTCCAATGATCTAAAAAAATAATATACAAAATCTAGATATAATAGCACTGCAATATTTATATAAAAAGATTAAAACAATAAAAAAACAATAAGAAAATGAAGAAAATTTTTCTTTTTATAAATTTCTATTTTATTTTAAGAAGAAAGTTTTTCTTGTTTTTTTTTTTTGTATATAAAAGGTGTGATTTCCTCCCCAAGAGTATAAAAAGTTGTTTATTTTTTTTAAAGACCTTTTCAAAATAAATCTTATTTTTTTCCAAAGTTTTATTTTTAAGATTTATCGGTTTATGTGTTTTTTTTATAAAATTTTTGAGTATGATCTTTCGAAATTTCGAATGACATTTCAAATTATTTGTAAACGAAAATAGAAGTAAGTATTTTAAAGCTCAGAATATGGTAGATATTTCTGGGAATTTGATATGTTGAAGGAAATTTTTCTTTTGTGTTCGTGCTAAGGGCGAATCTTGTTTACAAATTTTCTTTGAAGCGTTTTACTATTTTACGTAGATTAATAATTTTTGTTCAAAATATGCCTAAAATACTTTTCAATAGCTAATACAGAAGCATACAATCAAATTGCGAATTGAAAGAGTCATGTGTTCTCTGTTATTTAAATAAAAATACTATGCAAATATTGTAAGACTTTATTCTAAAAGTTGCACTATAACAAAGGTACGAAAACAATTTTATTTTATTTATTTTATAGTTTTTTTTGTTTTTCTTAATTGATTAAGTTAAAATGACCAATAGATTACAAATTGTTGATTTATAAAACCGAGAAAACAGTTCACTGCGACCACGTATAAAGATCTATTGCAACACCTGATCAAGATGCAAAACCCTATAATATTTTACCTGAATCTTGCCCGTCCCTTTAAGAAGCCTCTTGCCCTACCGCAGCCCCAGAAGACTTTTCCAGCGCTCCGACTGTCTTCTCTCTGATTCCTTTCTTAGTTCCCAATGAATAGTATGTAATCCGAAGGGGCTTCATCCCAAGGAGAGGTTTGCTTTCCCCCCTCCTAGCCACCGAATCTGCTGCCTCATTTCTTTTCAATTCCACATGGCATAGAACTCAGCACAAAGTGTCTTGGTTTCATCTAGCCCATTCATTCAATATCTCAAGACAGCTCTATACTGCCGCATAACCTGAAAATTTGCGGTCCAATATAGCCGGTAAGAAAACAAATTTATTGTATGCAATGAATGAAATGTAAAAATTGAATTTTAGATTTCTGAACATTTTTCAGTTTTTAATTACTATAAGTAATTATTTTCCTAAGAGTTTCCGTAATTTGTCATTGCATAACTATAGGAGCACTTTGATTCTATTAAATTTTATATTACTCTTGCAGTATTAATCATTTTAGTGTTTCCTTACAAATAATATTAAATTAAAATTCGAAAAAAGTAATAGCCGTCGGGAAAATTGTGTTACCCATAATTTGTCCTTACATCAGTTACGAATTGAAATTATACAATTTCCTTTATTTGCACTAAAACTGTTTTCTAAGTAATTCCAATTTCTTTTATTTTTCCTTTTTTTTGTTAATTTAATTTTAAAATTTCACTTCAATTAAAACATAAATCTTTTGAAAATATTAAATTTTAGTTTACTTATCAGAACTTTATAATTTCTCTTTATAAATAGTAAAAAAAATTTAATTCAAAAAAAAAGAAAAAAAATCCTTTTAAATTTTTGTCTTCACTCCATGATTGTTTTTACATTTCCGTTCTCAATTTTTGAATTTTTGACGAAATAAATTTGACAAAAAACAAACTAAACTAGAAAAACAAAAAAAAAACTTGTCTTTTAACTTTTTTATGAACACCAACAATAATAACTACACAAAACAGGAATATTATATAATTGCATATTTAAAAAGAAAAATAAAAATCAAAAATATAAAAAACAAAAAAATTGCATTATTGAGAATGAAATTTCCAACTAGGAACAAGGGAAAAATGCATAAAACTGTAAAATTTCCTGAATTTCATTCTTTTGTCATATCAAAAACAAAAAAAATACAACAACAAAACAATATGATGTAAAAATCAAATCAAAAATAAAAAAATTTTCTTTTTGTCTTATTAAAAACTTAAAACAAAACTCATCACTTTTAACTTTTATGATAGAAGAAACACATACACACATTCATATAGTTATACAATTTATACTGCAATAGTAATTGAAGAAATTTAAGAAACTTCTTGCCTCAACAACAACAAGAATATGAAACAAAGAAAAAAATTTCTTCTTTCTCCAAAATTGTTAAACATCAAGAAATCAAATTTAGTTTTTTTTTTTATTTTAACTACGTCATTTTAAGATTTTCCTTCTAAAATAGAAGAAAAACACATACATAGCTGTTAAAAGTTAGGAATAGGGACATTTTGTACAGTCAATGATAAAAATAATTGTACAAGTTAAAATTTTTTTGGGTAAAATTAATTTAACGGGTTTATAAATAAAGCAATTGAATCAAATTTTATGTTGAAAGCCCGACATTTCCATATTCGACTTACATCGCCTTTATATGAACATTTCATGGAACTCCTACAAATCGTCGCAATTTTCTAATTTCACTGACTTTTCAACATCTCATTTAGTACCAATATTTTATTTTTTAATAACCTTTACTCAGAACGGAAAAGAAATGGATAAAATGAGACTCAGTTATGTATACCAGCAATTACTCTGTGGCAGTTAGGGAAAACTACCTAACTGAAAATTATTAAGCTTAAGTTAACTAATTTAAAAATTTACTATCGTAACCAGAAAAATTTCAAAGACTGTATCCAAAAATAAATTCTATTTCATCCCTAAATTTTTAAATAGAAAGTCAATTATCAATGCTTAGTAATATAAGCATTGCATAGGTTTGACATAGACAGGTTTTTAAGATAGTAATAACATTTTCTCTTTATCATAAAATTATTTGGCCAGATCAAGAGGTGGCAAATTTTCCTTAAATTAAATTTTAATTTAAAGTTTTCTTATTTAAATATTGTAATAGCCCTATTTTGAGTCTATTTAACCGACTATGTTACAAATATTATTATCAATCGCTATAATAATACAATACAATAAATAATTGAATGATTCATTAAATGACATTAATTGTCATCCAAACATATTCTTAATTACAACTCTTCGCATATAAATTTTTCCAAAAGCGACAAAAAAAAAATTTTATTTAAGCAAAAATAATTTCAAATTCCTTAAGAAAAAAATTTCCTCAACGTAGACTTAATTCCAAAAAAAAAAAGGAAAAAATAACAAAAGACATGTTAGACGTATGGAAATTTTATTTTGATTGACTGTTAAACATGCATAACAGCAAAAGACAAAACAATAAAACTCTCTCTCATAAATAAAAACTCTTGCAACATAAGAATGGTGAGAAAGAGAAGAGAAAAGGTTTGAGTTTAGTGAAATGTCACAAAAATTGTTGCTTTCTTTTTAACTAATTTTTTGTTCATTAAATTTTCCCATTTTTGTTCCCTTCTCTTTTTACTTTTTATATTATATTTTAGATATTGTCGCAATCATATCCCTCTTATCATTTTGATTTCAAACAAAAAAAACAAAAAAATCAAGAATGAAATAAAATTCAAATAAAATAATAACAACATTCAAAAAACGATGACAGCAAAATGTGAACCACAAAATGAAAAATAAACAAAATGAATGAAAACAAATCATTCTTCCCTTCTTTAATTTTCACTTGTGATGTCAGGCATCCATCTATGTGTATTAAAAATGTCAGAAGAAAAATGTACAGATCCTGTTGTCGGCTGTTGATTTGTTAGTGTTTTTTTTTTTCATTTCACATTTCCGGGTTGTTTTTAATGCTATTGTTGCCATATTGTAGTTTTCTCCTTAATAAAGAGAAGAAAGAGTATACATGAGCAGAAACACAAAAAAATGATAAAATAAAAATAAAATTTTTTGTTTATTTTTTTTTTTATTGATGTTACTTTCATTGTTGTGTTTGTTGTTCTTTATTTTTAATTTTTTTCTCTTTTTAATTTTTTTTTGTTATTGTTTTTGTAGTTTTAAATCCCAATTGAAGTCATATTTAACCTTTTCGACTATACGACATGTTGCTTTTGATTTTCTCCTTCTCATTTTTTTCTTTTTTGCATTTTATTTTTTGTTTTTGTTCTTGTTTTTTGGGCATACATTCAGGATGATAAATGTTTCGTTAAAATTCATGGCACAATAATAAAAAGCTAAAGAAAAAATCAAGTAACAAAAAAATTGTATTGAAGAAAGAACTCATAAAAAAAGGGATAGTATTTTTATAAGTGGTTTTTAAAAAAACATCATAGTGGTGAAACAAAAAGAAGATGTTTTTTTTTTATATTATATTTTTTGTATCTAGCCCTGCTACATATATTCTTTAATTTTAAATATTTACTAGTTTTTTTTTTTGTGTTTGCACTAAAACTACAAATGTATGTGAATAAATTTTTGGACTGATGATTGACGGAATATATAAAAAAAAAACAAGCTGGGGTTTAGTAAATAAAAGTGTTACCAATCTTTCAAACATTCTGTTGACGCATTTGTATGATTGGTTGTATGGTAACAAGTATGAGACAGAATCCAGTGAATATATTGAATTTTGGATAGGCCTTGTACATTATTTTATATATTGCTCATATTTCTGAAATAATTTTCAAAATATTTTTAAGTTTAAAAGTAAGTTTTTAGGGGACAATTTTCTTTTAAATTAAATTTTAATTGAACTTTTGGAATTTTCATATTTTAAGTCTATTTAAGCGGCTATGGTACAAATATTATAATAAAACTATTAGTTTTCCATCGCATATATTGGTTTAAAAATAATTATTACTTTTTTATTTCTATTTTCTGTTTAAAATTAATTGAATTTGATTACAAAAATAAAAGCACAAATTCGTTTCAGAATTTTTAAAAAATATGGCAATTGATTATAGCGACAACACCTGTTTACATTGTCAAAGCTTCCTAATATTTTCAGATAAAGGTTAAAGCAGAAAGTGAAATAGATTTTAAACTGTTTAGTCAATCTTTTCAGCTTATATGAATTCTCCTTCAATTAGCTAAAAATTGGCTGAGAAAAAAAAACTTTTAATTTTAATGAAAAAACAATTCCAAGGGACAATCATTTTGATTATCAGTTTTAAATTTCTAAACTTTTCAATTGTGCTCTGATTTCAGTAGAATATTAAATTTGTTTCATTCAGTAGATTTCATTTTGGAAGCATAGTAAATATTATAAGTTTTAACCTTTCAGAAATTTAGTTGGTAAAGGTATTCCTTGAAAGTTAACGAGCTTTTATGATTAAAAATTGATAAACAAAGATTTTATTAAAATTTATTTAAATCAACAAAGTTTAATTGTAAAAAACTCCCTTTAAACCAAAAATATTTGACGGTTATGACCAATTTGTTATGGCCCAAAACACAATCATTCAAAAATTAATATTTGAGTACATAAACCGAGACAAATTTTAAATGCATTTTTAATCCTTTAATTCGTCCTTCTACTGAATATAAATCAAAAATAAATCCAAAATCCACGTATAATTGTAATTTTAATCTCTAGCAGAACAAAAAAAAAATATTTTTGATACTCGCACGTCCTGACACAAACCTGAAACACAATAAAATATTTTATGGACTTAAAATACTATAAATACATTTTTATTTTTATATTTTACAATTTAACTTTTTGATAGTCCAATTTTTAAAAGAGAAAAGGCAAATGCGGTCGCAAAATGAATTTATATACATAATATAGAGTCACAAAGCTTTTCACAGAAAATCCTATATATAACAAAGAGCAGAACAACAAACGTAAAGTCACAAAAAAAAAAAAGAGGAATCAGTGAAAAGGATCAAATTCATATATACTTGTCGCTCTCTAAAAATTTTTTTTTTGCCTTCATTGTTTCTTTGTTATTACTTCCGCTACTGTTGTTGTTATTTTATATATGTTCTCTTTTGTTGAACCTAAACCTTTACATTTTTTTTCCACATTTTTTATATTTTAAAGTACGTACCTACCTAAATGATTTCTATTTACAACACAACTATGTGCATACAAATGTAACACATTTATATATGTACATCCATCTTCCATATAAAAATAGCATACATGCATATACCTACAAACATATTGTTTTTAAACATTGTATACGGAAAAATATAAAAATATTTATAAGCGCTGTGAAAATTGCCAGTTGCTACCTTAAAATAGAGAAATTAAACAGAGCGTAAAGGATTCACTT